AGAATATTTAACTCTATCCCAGCTGAAACCAGGACAGACCTTTCATTAGAATTTTCTAACTTGTGTCATTCTACTGAATAGTATTAAAAATTTAGTCATGTATTTATGTTTTAAATATTCTAGTGAAACTATCAACAGATATGGTCCTACTCCTGCTCTGCAAGTGAAAATGAGAGTCCATGCAATTCAAAAGCTGAACATTATGCTGCCCTTTTAAAATGATATGCCATTAAGGAAGAAGTACTACTTTACAGTTGTCTGGGAGCCAAACCTCCATTAGGTGAGACCACCAATGAAATAGTACCACCTGTTTCTTTTTGAGTCAGTAGCAAAAATTTCCATTGACTTCAGCTGAAAGATAACTGGGCCCAAAAGTCTAATTACTAGAAGTGGGTTAATGTGTTAAGGCACTCTTTAAAAAAAAATTAATTCTAGAGAAATTAGATTAGATTAGAAATCTGATTACCAAATGAATTAAGATTTTGTTATAATTTTTCAAATATATTTACAGAATGAACAACTGTTTATTATCTCAAAATAAAAAATAAAGAAGGAAATGTAGACCAAACAGGGAGCTATTCAGGCAATAAAAAGCAGATTTCTACTTTAGTATGAGGTGATCACACTATAGACTCCATTGACTGTATCTAGGGCCAGGATTCAGTTGCCTGACTGTGGGCATCTAGTGCATCTATTTGAGATGCTCTTTGGGACTTCTTATTTGAGAACATCTGTGTGTATGGGGCTCACAGTTTTAAGATGCAGACTTAAGCAGGTATTATTTTGTTTGTTTATACGGTTCCTAATCTCAAAAAACAAATTTTAAATGACTGTGTCTCTGAAGGATCTAATACATTATAGACTTTGCTGCACTGTGCAATCTAGAAACAGAAAATTTCTTACTTATTAATCCTCTTGACTTAATCATTTCAGCTAATGAATAAGGAAGGAAGTAAACTAAATAGAGCAATATTGGCTTGCCGTAGTGGAAGCCTGCTAATGCATTTAATATTTTCCAAATAGAGAAGAAGAAGATTAAACAGTAAAGCAGTATATTTGCAACATTCTGAAAGTGCTAAAAATGAATATGTGACAAAAGTTGTCTGACACTGTACTTTAATTTTTTTTGCTTTTTTCCTAGAGCAGCATTTGTATTGTCATCTCCTATTCCCTTTTTGTTTTCAGCACCTGCAAAGATTTAAGCTGGAAATTTTATCTTTTGTCTCTCAACTCTTGTCACTCCAAATGTCTCTTGTTGTGCGACTCCATCTTTGCTGTCCTTACAAATAAAATGCAAATCGTGTCCTTGCCAGAGCTAAACACTTATCTAAGTGAAATCAGAATAAATACTTGAAGGTTAAAACTGAGATTCACTTTCTATTTGAGAAAATCACAGAATGCTATGTTACTTTTTGGCTCTAAAAATGTATATTAAAATGTCAGAATTTCAGTTCAAAGAAATATCCTTTTTCTGAATTGGGCTTTTTAGATGTTTTTAGTAGCGGTCATTTCAGGTCACAGAGGGTGACGAGAATAATTGAACAGCAGATAACTCAGGATTTTTTTTTTTTTATGGTAACATGTTGCAATTTGTAGGAGTTGAGTATTTGTGATTTAAGATGAAGGCTCTAAACTGGTGGAGAACATCCACAGAGGCAGGGTGAGCTCTGCGAGGCGTGTGGAAAGTTTGCCAGTGATGCCAGTCGTGATAGCAGAGTTGACAAGAGGACGCGATGCCTTGCCGCTGCTGAAGAGCACGCACAAGGAGAAGCAGGAGAGCTATTCATAGTGTCGGCAGCGATGACACCATGAGCAATAAACAAGAGTGTTCCACTTCAGTCAAGAATTCAAAAGCCTTTTCATGAATTTAATTAAGAAACTTTTCTGACAGCAGGGACATCCTAATTGTCTGTTGCATCCTCGAAGAAGGAAATCAAAGGAGTGCTGCTGAAATTCAGGATTTGCAAGCAATCAACTTTCCTACCTGCCAACATATGAAAGCTAAAAATAGGAAGCAGAATGAAGATGGGATTTCAGAATTGTTTCTAAGGAATTTCCCCTGACTAAAGACTTTGGGATTTAGCTAAGGGACATTAGTAGGAGAAAATAAGGGTACGACACTCAGAAGCATTTTGCTGCAATTAATGGATTTTTTTTTTGTTTGTTTGGTGAAAGTATGATAAGGCTTAGTATTTTAAATTCTATTATGATTCACGTTCAGGAAGGGTGGAGAAAATGGCATTGTGTTAGAATAGTGAGAACATTCTTTCATAAGGAGAGATAGCTGACTTATTTTTCATGACAAGAAGCTATTTTCTATGAATTTGAAAAGTTTTCAGTAGTACAAATCATCAAGGGAAAAACATACACCTGAATGGCCAAGAGAATTTTTTTTTCCTTAGAAACTGATTGCCATTTTTCATTCTGATTAATCCTAAATGCTTATGTAGGACTCTTCATCTGTAAATCCTGGGTGTCGTAAAAATGCAAGTTCATTTTTTTACTTTTAAAAATTCCAAATGTACTTACCAAAACTGCTAGAAAGATTTTAAGTAATTCTGTGTAGACACTACAAAGAAGAAAATAGGGCAATATTTTTAGTATTTTTCAGAGATAAAAACCCTAATGTAATACTTTGAAACTTTCATTTGCCTACATTCAACAGTAGCCTGTCAAGTTTAATATGGAGTATCTTCCGGGGAAGGTGATACTTTACATGGCTAATCTACCTGAATAATGTGATGATGCAGCTCCAGTTTCCTTTACTCATCAGTATTGATTCATTATAAACACAGATAGAAAGTTTGGAATGACAAGCTATGAAGTACAGAGAATTGGTAAGGGATGCTAGAGAAATGAGGAAAAAATCCAGAGCTGCAGGGAGTAAGAGGTTGTTCAGGAAGTGTATTTTAGACAGAAGATACCCTAAGGAAGATACTGTCCCATTTTCAGTGGACAGACTAGCACTGCTAATATGTACAAAAGGTGAGAACATTAGATAAATATGCCTGTTTGTACATGGAAAATGGAGAAGTATATTTACATCCTATGAGGACAAAGTAGTTGTTTCCCACTTTGACAGTAACCAAAGAAAACTCGAGACAACACCTACTTTGGGTAAATAATTAAAAATAAGTAGGCCTTAGCTCCTTGTGCAAAAGAAGACCGAAAGAATTGGCTGCAGAAGCCTCTTGTCGACTGATATTCTTTTTTTCTTTGTTAAATTTGGGAGCATTAGGAACTTATATTATAGTGAATTTATATGACTTCTGACATAAAGCTGGTATCAAAAGGGGCACTCATATGGCCAAAGAGGCTGTTGGGCCATTAAGCCTGACATTCATCCTCGGCATTTCATAGAATTAGAGAATCAGAATGCATTAAGTTGGAAGGGACCCATAAGGATCATCGAGTTCAACTCCCTATTTGTAATACAGCATTTGGAAAACAAAAACAAATAAAGGAAGGATACAATTCTTAGGGCGTTATGCTTTTAAAGCTTGTTGAAAGGTCACAAAAGGTTCGTTTAAGAGGTACAATAATGTTTCAGGTGCTGGAGAAACTACTTTGCAGTGGAGGATTTAGAAATCTCAATCTGTTTAGTTTATCAGATAGGAGATCAAGAGGTGACTTGATTATAAAATATAAACACTTCCATACACACACAGTGTCCACCACTAAAAGCTTTTTAATCTAGCTGTGAGAGGTAGAACAAGCACTGCGGGACGGGAGTTGAAGTGACTGTCCTTGGAAGCAGGGCATGCATTTTTAATGGTGAGGGTGATTCACCTAGGAGGTGCTGATCTTCTCTCAGTATTCTCAGAACAAGACTTGCTTCTTGTCTTAAAGTTAATGCATTACACAGCTTCAGATCCCATCAACACAATGTTACATACTTCCTGAACTTCAGGACTTAGATAATTTGGTTTTTCTTTTATTTTTCTTGTCTTTTTTTACTTCCCCCCCCCAATGAGAGACAGAAGAGTTTGGGGCCATTTTCAAATCTGTTTACTAGAGTTAGAACTGAAAATTTTGATGTCAACATGTTGCAAGGATGTTAATGGGCTCATAGTGTACAAATCTTCCTCAGTGAGGAGCGGGTTTCCCAAAGGAACTAATTGACATGCTTTATGGTGCAGTAAAGACAACTTACCTAGAATTACTGCTTTAATATATTTCATTGTACATGCTGATAATATTTCCAATAAAATGGTTGCAACCAGTCTGCTGCTTCTCACTCATCAATTGCACATACCACCAATCATAATTCCCTGGTAATCAACTAGGTACTGATACAAAGTATGTAAAGCCATGCTTCCACACTCCTCCAGGCTAAAATAGTAATCTTTCCAGTCTCCAAACAGTGTAACGGTTTGGCTGAAGAATCTATATGAAACATCAAATTATCCCCCAGCTGACATACAAAATGACATACAATAGGATACATAGTAGATTTCAGGTCAGACTTCCTATCTAGGGACACTGTCATTTGAGTTCCTAACACTCTGCTGCCTTCCAGTCTTCCTCACATCTATTTTTGGTCTTCTAATGACCTGCGATATAATTAAATTACAGTAGCAATGGCAGTGAGCACAGGCAGATAATCCAGGACAAACAAAAATCTCCTACATCTCAGCCCTCATCACTGAAGAGAAAAAATTTCTGTTTGTCCTGCAGTGTACCATATCCGAAGTCAAGCCCTCCAAAAGTGTAAGAGACAGTGTTTTACACTAGCGTAATCTTAGCAAGATGTTTTCTCTCTCCTGTTTTTTTGAATATACACATAATATTGCACATACCAGGATTTTATTTTGATAATCTTGGCAATTTATTGAGAGGAAGAAAAGGTGAGAGTTCCTGCCACCCAGAGATACTTACTCCTTGTCTGTTTTCAGTTAGGAAAAGTACTACCTTTCATCAAGCAAGCCAGATTTGTTGTGCACCATCATTCAACATGACAAATTTGTCTGGCAAATTGTACCTAACTTCCTGCTTTTTAGGAAGCTGGCAGATATGAGGCCACATCAGTGACATGGTTGGATGATGTCAGTGTTCTGGGCCCGGCTCACCTCTTTGCTGTTCTGGCTTTAGACCAAGGCGTGGTGCAACACACGGATGCCTTGGTAGGTGATTTTCTTTGAAGCATAGAAAGTCTCGGTATTTGTGCTGTTGGCCAGCTCCAGGAATTTTCTAGAAGCCTCCAGATTTTCAGTTCTACTTCAGAAATGGTGGCTGTTTGGATTATAGCTGACGGAAAGAAATTTTTAGTTGTTGAACTGGTAAGAAATCATCATCTTCTGTTTTTTAGGATCTCACTCTAGGTAGCCATACAGCTTCACTCTTTGTTCTTCTGTTCAGCTTTTAGAGAATATCGTACAATGTGCTGGATAAATATGTCACTTAAACACTCTTGACATGCAGCTTTGTGTTTTACATCATGTACCCCAAGGAAAGGGAGTGAGTGCCTTTTAAAAAACATGGCACAGAACAAGACTACAAAATAGCAGTCCCATTCTACGACTGTTCCGTGTGGTTGTGAAAAATCTGTGAATTTGGCAGAAGGACAAGTCAGTGATCATCAAAACCACAAGAACTCTGCTTAGATTAGCAGAGGCTGCTGGCTCAAGCAATAAGAAATCCTGATGTAAAAGAATGATATTCTTCCTTTACATCTAGCTCCATCTGGAAATCCATTTTTACGTTAAGAAAATACTGAGCTATGACAGGAGCTAAATCCTTACAGCTTTTGGCTCTCTAAAGGTCTAGCCAAGACAAATGAAATACCTTTTTTCTGCTAGAGAATAGGTAGGAGACTAATGCTATGGTTAGATCCAAGTATTCTGGAACAAATACTGACTTGGTCACTTGAAAAATTATCAGTGCTTTTTCTATGGAGAGACCTACACTGGAGTACTGCGTCCAGCTCTGGGGGCCCCAGTACAGGAGAGACATGGAGCTGTTGGAGCGAGTCCAGAGGAGGGCCACGAAGCTGATCAGAGGGCTGGAGCACCTCTCCTGTGAGGACAGGCTGAGAGAGTTGGGGTTGTTCAGCCTGGAGAAAAGGCAGCTCCGGGGAGATCTAATTGCGGCTTACCAGTACCTGAAGGGGCCTACAAGAAAGATGGTGAGGGACTGTTTATCAGGGAGTGTAGTGACAGGACAAGGGGTAATGGGTTTAAGCTGAAGGAGGGTCGATTTAGATTAGATGTTAGAAAGAAATTCTTTACTGTGAGAGTGGTGAGATACTGGAACAGGTTGCCCAGAGAAGTTTCTGGATGCCCCCTCCCTGGAAGTGTTTAAGGCCAGGCTGGATGAGGCTTTGGGCAATGTGGTCTAGTGGAGGGTGTCCCTGCCCATGGCAGGGGGGTTGGAACTAGATGATCTTTGAGGTCCTTTCCAACCCAAACCATTCTATGATTCTATGATCGTACCTGGAGCCTTTTGTGGCACTGGACCAAATTTTCTGGAGGGTTGACCTTATTGCACGTGGTGGCTCACCAACCTGTGGATCCCTATGGTGGTCAAAAATGATCAGGGAGCCTGACGCTCTGTGAATGCACCTTGCTTAATGGGCTGTTGTGAGAACCACTGTAGAATAGAAGAAAAATATTAACCAAGGAAAACCTTTGAGGGAAATGTCTCTCTGCCAAATTTGTGGGTATTTCAGAGTAGCAGGCAGAATCATAAAACAGGTTAGTAGACTTTGTGCAGTGTTTCCCAAAGGACACTCACTTCTGTTATTTAAGACATTATTGGTTTAAAATCGGCCCTAGGGGTTTTCTGTCAGGACTTAAATGGGAAGTGGGTTGGCAGAAGCTTTCCTCCTCTAAAAATCATACCTATGACTAGTATGGCTCCTCAGGAGAGAACCCCAGTGGTTCTACTAGATGTGATTAATGAGCACGTGGTTACTGAAGCATCCCTCTTGGTGTCCTTCAGCTGTGTGTCCGTATGACAATTTTCCAATATGTGTTATTACAGGAATAAAATCAATATTTTGATATATTAGCAGTACTGAACTGTGTGGACTAAATTTCTTTATGGTAATGTCTTTTCAGAAGAGTTTGGGCATAAATAGTAAGCTTGGGAATTAATCAAACTGTTGATAGAAAACAGGAAGGAAAGGAGAAGAAAACCTGAAATTGCATGTCATGGTTTTCTATAGGCCTTATGGTAGAGGTTTAGATCAAAGGAAAAATACTAATTTGGGGCTCTTACTTTCTACTCAACAACTTCATCAGATAAGAGAGTTTTGCAGAAAAAATCTTTGTTAACACTGATTTAATTTTTAGCTTGTATAGTCTCAGTGAGCATCAGGAAGCAAGGATGCTTACCACAAAAGAGACTCCATTTTTCTACTGAGAATAATTTCAAGCTCAGGACAATTTTCTTAAAACAGTTATGAACAGTGATATTTTGGGGAAAAAATTAGGTAATAAAAATGTGGAGAGCACACTATGGGTTTTCTTTCACAAATAATATTCATGAGAACATTTAACTTCAGTAGAGAGTACATTAAAAGAAGGAATTAAAATAAATCACAAATATAAAAAGCCTTGAAATTTTTAATTTTACCATGTGCCATGCTTAAATCATAAAATAAAACCAGTTAACGTTCTCCTTTTCTAATTTTCTAATTCACTAAAATGCCATATGCTTTTAATTTGTGTTTACTTTGGCATCCAGAAGAATGAAGAGAATTAAATAATGCTGGAGACAAGCATAATCATTATCTTGTGTTCAAGCACTTTGATGGTATATTTAAAATAGATGTGTGAGCCTTTTTTCTTCCTTGTAATATGGATATCATAAAGGAAGGTGAACAGGATGATAAATTAGAGATGCTCTCAGCGAGGCTGTTAAATTATTTTTAGGTAGAAGACATACTGTACACACTGAGCCTCAGCTGAATGTAATTAATTTGAAATGTTATCACTGTTGTGCTTGCAGTCCTATTGTAATTTTTTTTTCAGTTCTGCATCTTGCTGGCTCCTATCACACCCCTCACTGTGAGATCTTTTCCTGTTTTGCACGTGTCCTGTTTTTTACCACCATATGGTAGTTAGAATTTCAGTAGCTTTGCTCTGTTTACAGACCACTGTGCTTTGTCATATTTTTGCTGCTCACCCTGTATTGCCATCTGATACCTATCATCTGTTTAACACATTGGATGCCAAAAATACGCAGGTTTGTTTTTTTTTTTTTTCAAATGCATGTGTGAGAAAGACTGTTTCAGAAAGCTGTTTTAATAAACATTGCTCCAAAGTAATTTCCTGTTATGTTGAACCAGTACCCACACCTCTCAACTTTCCAAACTTTTTAACAGGTGCCAGATGACTGAAGTGATATACTGCAGCAGTGGGGATTTTTTTTTTTTCCCCGCTCGTATGCATTGCACTGTTAGTAGCAGACCATAATGTGTTTAAGCATCTTTTCCCACTGCGTGATTATAACAAAACCGATATTCTCAGAGTATAGCAGGGTCTATTCTTAACCTGGTTGCTAATTGCAACTTTATTAGGGTTGCACTAAGTAACTCTTTTTGAAACTGGTTTGACAGATAAAATACATACAAGTGTTGGCATTAGTGATGGCTGATGCCATTTTAATCCAGCATTTCAATCTCTTGTGATATTGACACCAAAAAAATCACTTCACCAACTGTCACGACGTAATTAAATTTTGGGGGCGGGGGAACAGATAGTACGAAAAATGATTGTATCACTGAATTAGAGTTAGAGAAACCTGTGGCAGCACTTGGGGTATTAGACATGATGAATTTTTCATTCAGTTGTATTTTAAGATGCAATAATCTTGACTTGCTGGGTGTTCATAAGCTTAAATTTTAGAAGAGGTGCTCATAAGCCTCTGTTTCCTGTGGCTTCTTGATGGGGACAAAGAACAACAGCAGTTCACAGTTATGGACCCATAGCGAAGCCATGTAATTCTGTGGTCATCTTCTGCTAGCTTCCCTGGGTATCACTGTGCGTGGGGTTTTCCAGACTGACTCAACAGCTTAGGAGTGCAAGTCCATACGTGACCAACTGCCTATGAATGGTAGCTGATCTCTGAAGACTTTGGGTGGTCCCATCTGATGGGCAGTTGTTCTGCTCTCCACTGACTTGGACTGTCTCTGTTGTAGGTAGCTTGGTTGATCAGAACAAATTCTGCCTGGGTTATGTGATTCATCCAGCTGAACTTAGCGATGCTACTAATTAATACTGTTCGGTTAGATAAATCAACTTCTTTTTTATTTTCGCTCTCTCTCATGCACTGCTTCATTAATATGTCTAGTGGTTAGTAGCTCTGTATTCAGAGTAAAAGTGAGCTAAGTACTGGTACCTGTGTTTGTGATTTTGTGTAAGTGCAAATTTGTGCCTTACTTTTAAAACCTCTTCCTTAAGATTTTAATTAATCTTCCCCCCCCCCTTCAATCCTTAAATTGAACTTTTCTACTGTAAACACCCCCCATCCCCTTTCAGGCTTTTTGCACTTTGTTTTATGTGACTTTCAGTCATTCGCCATTTTATGGCTGGTTGGTTATGATGTGATGACCATCATTTGGAAAAAACATACCCACAGTAGCATATTACATGATTCAATAAATTAATTCAATAAATGGAAGAGAACACCATTTAATTCTCTTTTCCTTCACTCTGAAACAGATTAGGTTTTGTTTGTTCACAAAAATATGATTTTGGTGAAGTTTAGCTTCAATAAATGATATTTGTATTCCATAATAAAATGAAGCTGATGTTTTTGAAGAGACAATAAGTCAAGTTATTCTTTACTTACTGATTTAATGTATTTTAAGGGACATGTGCTGGCAGAGCCACTTCACGCAACAGTATTTTACTGGAGAAATTTCCTATGGGACTCAGAGACTACTGCTCCAAGGATCGTTTTGTGCTTCTTTCAGTGAAGTAGTGGCATTAAAGCAGCGTTATGCCATCACGAGCTGACACAGGTTAGCTCATTCAGGAGACACACTTTGCGTGTCTTTTATACTACATGTGGAAGAGAATGTGGTGCTGGGTTAGATTCAGTAATATTTAGGCAAATGAGGAAAATGAAGACATCGCTTAGGCAGTTGATAAGGAAAACTATGATCCAGTACCTGAAA